AATATTTTGGGCATTAATTGCATTATGCGTTTGTTATCAGTTTTTTGCTATAATAATGGGTGGATTTAGCTTTTGGATATTAACCGTAATTTACTTTATTTATCAATACAAACAAATTCACGAAACTATCAATAATATTGTTAATAATAAAATAAAGCTTAATGTTACCAGTATAATAAAAGTAATAAATAATCACGAAGAAGTTACCAAAAAGTTTATGAAACAAAGGGAATACCCGAAAATGATTGCATTTCTTATATATTTCATATCCACTCCTTTAATCGATGTATTAATATATGTTTTATTTGACATAAACACCAAATTATATTCAAGAATATTCTTTATATGTTTCACTATATTACTTGTGTGTATGTCATTCACAATTCACTACATGTGTGGTCTACTAACTAAGCATGCTTATATGTCCAGACCATTACTGCATAATTGTATGATTAGATTGAAACGTAATGTTAACCGACGACTAAAGATAATGGCATTCAATGAGCGATTAGTCGGACATGAGATCGCATTTTACTGTTTGGATTGGTTTCCATTGACTGTCTTTCAGTTTTATAAGTACTGTTTTGGTCTTGGTTATTTCTATATAACAGTTAGTAGTATTCTGTGATTAATTTGTATTATGTATTTATATTTAAATTTTCTGTGCCGTTCACAAATTAAATGCAAATAAATACAATAATTGTTTTATTATTTTGTAAATTTAATACGATAATGTATAATCATAGGCTTAATTAACATTTCTTATTTATATACTTTTATTCTCATACAACAATTATTTTATATTAATATTTATTTACCACTATGTTTATATCATTATTATGCATAACGATTATATGAATTGATTTAATTATGCAAGGCTAATCAATATGAATGCAAACATCACTTAATCCTTTTCCATATCCTAATCGCCTTATTTTTAGGCCTCACTTCACCCCCGGAAACAAAAAAGCTGAGATAGTATTTATGGGCCCCGGAGTTAGCACCAGTATAAATATCTCTGCTATATGACCCGGGTGTAACCGGCGCCGTCTCTCCATTTTGATTATTCTTACCATAATGCGTGTGAACCTCCGTTAATCTTGGTGAATTTTCTAATTGAACATTTCCAAACCGTTCACTACTTCCACCTTCGGCCCTGAAAAATAACCCTGCATACAATGGTGTAATATTGTCCCAGGTCATTGTAGGATATAAATAATTAGGTGTAGGTTGACTTGGTAATTGCACGTATATAAATCCAATGGGAATTGAATTAGTAATTTGAGATTGTAGCTTAGTAATTTTATTAACTTGCTTGTTTAAATCTAAGTCAAGCTCGATCACCTTTTGTTGCATTTGATCAAATGTCCAAATATCAGATGATGTATTATTATCATCAGGTAGGGTGTAATTAACCTGGTTTTGACTTTGTTGGTAATTTTCATCATACACATCACCATGCTTAAACAAACTTATTTTTGGCTTATCCAATAAATTGGCAAAATAGCTATTTTTACTCTCATCTAAAATTGCATAATCGACTGCTGCGAAAATGGCATTGTCACCATAATCTTGCTTATGCTCAAGCATATGTCTAAATATGTTCATGGTCTTGTCAGCTGACTTAACATTATCGTAATTAAAAAATAAAATATATATGTCGTTGTTAAAATATTGCCATAGGTATTGCTGCAAAAGTGTGCTTTTAGTGAGCATGGTGACATTCATTTTTTTCATGAATTTGATAAATGAGATTTCTTGTTTTAATTTACCAAATTCCCTTAATTTTACCTCGATAATTTCCCACGAGTATGGATCGTTAGTAGCATTCATCAACACCATTTCCAATTTATCAACTGTCTCAATTCCGGACCTAACTAATAATAAATGTTCCGATAAATAACTGCGTAAACGAGCTTCGTATAAACTATAATTATGTTGTAGCTGGTTAACTTTGTTAACATTTGTTGTTTTCAGGTATGGCTCCATAGCGATAACATCAGTGTGTAAATCATAAATTAGTTGTCCCATAGCATTAATGTTATCGAATAATTGAACAACTTTTTTAATAGTAACCTCGCCAATAGTTTTAACAATCACATTTGCAGCAAGGGGAGTTTTCCAAATTTTTCGTAGCTTATTAATAGGTATCATGGTATATCTGATGGCATTACCTTTACCTTTATTCGAATGCCTAATTAGTGTAGGGGAAATTTTCATAATCTTAACAGCATCAATTAACGATTCAGCAGTCTCATTCGGTAAAATATCTCCAAATAATTCAAATTGAAATTTATTATAAACTTCTTTATCGCTCTCGGTAAAATTAACACTCGCTTTTCCAGATAAATCAAATGCGCCACTAAGTTTTTTACACGCAGCCTGTAGACTGCCTTGAATTATTTTACTATCTTGCTCATCGGAATTAGTATCCTCGACCGATATAAACACATTACCGCCCCATTGTATGCCCACCACTACATGGGTGGCATCAATGTGCTCGAGCACATCGAAATCAATCAATGGCTTTAATTCGAAGTTGTTTATTATGATTTCATCATACATGGTGGTGATCGAATGAATCAAGGTAACCTTGGAGCTACGGTAGCTTTGTTTTTTATCTTGGAAATATCTACCCGACCCCTCCACTGTAATAAAACCGCTTAGAAAACTTAACTTTAGTTCAGCCGTAATGTCGAGTGCATTGAATTTTTCTTTATACGTGTTGACCATCATCAATTTCATTTTGCTTTCACCATTGTCAGTTGATATGATCGAGGTGTTAGCTGGCTGTTTATTGAATAGCGATATAGCCAGGAACTTGTCTATGCGAGCATCATATAGTTCCCCGATTTGTGCCACCCTTCCAACTGCCGATACTACAATGGGCTCGGAGATGTCCTAGTTAAGATTTATTAAATTTTAAATAGTTAAATTTTATTGTTAAAAATAATACATTTTGTATATTTACTCATTACTTACCACATGATTTTCAGCGCTGTATACAACTTTTACTTTATTATCAACAGTTTCAACAATGCAAAAATGTACAATAAATAATAATATATATATTTTGCACATATTTAATTATCATGCAACTTTAGATATATAAGTAAAGGCTTATACTAAAGGCTTTTACTGTAAGTTTTAAAACGACATGAATTAAAAAAATATATTTATGAAAATGCATTACTTTATATTACACCAAAACTAAAAATAAATATAATTAAACTAAATATTATCTATAATAAAATCATTATTATTTTTAATTTAATTACTGAAATACTAACAATGTGGCAATAACCTTTAGATAGCATTTCGCATAATAAATATTTGCTATAAAAATAAATATAATTAAACTAAATATTATCTATAATAAAATCATTATTATTTTTAATTTAATTACTGAAATACTAACAATGTGGCAATAACCTTTAGATAGCATTTCGCATAATAAATATTTGCTAGATTCTTATTAATAATAAAAGTAATAAGTTAATATCAAGTAACTAAAAATAGCAACTCATATAATTTGTACATTTAATAAATCCAACAACAACATTTATTTATTAAATACTTACAAAACATAATAAAACAAACTAAATTTATTTATTTATTTTCATAAATAATTAATATATGGTGTTTTAATAGTAGCGAAATTGACTTATCGCTAATGTATTATGTAAAAGCCGATTATTTACATATTTAATTTATCAATTTATTTTATTTAATATTCTGCTCATGTTGAATAATATGAAATTTTAAAAAAACATTGTTTTTAATATTATTGTTAGTCAGCGTGTTATAGTAATTTATCATAGTCAAAATATCATAAGATTATATATTTCATAACATAAACAATTTTTTACTTAATAAACTGAAATGTTATCTTTAAATAGTTTTCTACTAGATAATTAAATCAATTTTCCATCTTTTAATTCATTGTAATCTAAAAAATAATTCTTATGATATCCGTAGTTGTGGTAACATAGGCATCTATAAGTGAATGGTGATATTTCTGAAATAGGCACTCGCTCATTTTGAATTCTCTTTCAAATTCAGTTAACACGATAATTTATCTAGTATAGTTTTTTCTGTATATACAATGATTATTCATTCCCGTAAACGTGGTGTAGGAACATAATGTCTTCAGGAGAATAATTAGATTTAAATTGTACAAATTCGCTTAAAATGGATTAATTTTACCATTGTTTGTTTAGGAATAAATTGAGTTCACAGACACAAATATCGTTACTAGACATTTATTCGACCAAAACTAATGTATTTCAATGTAAAAACTTCTTTTTGCAAACTTAAATAGCGCACTTACAATTGGTGGATTTATGTCGAATAAAAATTATTTTTTACAAACCGGCAAGTAGGAACTATAAACAATGAATAGAGGATCAAGATAGGATTATCCGTTTGGTGCGTTTAATTATAATCGGAAAAAGTTGCTACCTGTGTATTATTATAAAATTATCTGTTTATTTTTAAATATTAAGCATTTAAAATAAAGTTTCAAGACAACAAACAATTAATAGTTTTAGAATTCAGTAAATATATTTTTTTATTACATGTTATTTCATGGAATTGTGAACAGGGTTCTTATTGTCATCTTTATCATCATTTTATTATCCTTATCATCAGGCATCTTTATCATAATCATCTCTATTTTCGAGCATATTTCTAAAAATGTTCATGGTCTTATCAACAACTTTCGTGGTAGTAAAGTTATCTTATAACCCATATTTTTTACTTCGTAAATGCGGGTAAAAAATAATGATTCAAATATTTACATTTTATAAATTATTAAAATGAATAACAATTTTGAAATTGGAGGGAAAAAGCATAAAATGCTTTCATATAATTGGGTTAAAAACCCACGTGATGCCCAATATGCCCGTGATGCCCAAAATGCCCGAGATGCCCAATATGCCCATGATGCCCATGATGCCCAAGATGCCCGAGATGCCCATGATGCCCAAGATGCATATAAGTCACTCCCCCATTTGATACGACAGGTCCCGGGTACTGATAACACATATTAGATGGATAGTCGACATTTGATACGGGTATCGGTATAGGTGTAGGTGCGTGTGGATAGGCACCAGCCATGTTAGGCAAGGGCGGAATGGGGTTAGGCATGGGCTGAGCCCGTGTCACCAAATGCCTTTCCCTCTCGTATTTAGCATAAAAGCAGCATGACACTATAAAACCGATGATAGAGACCCCGGTTATTGTCGAACCAATTATCAATAGTATTCCCCCTAAAAACACAACAAACATAAACCTACTATAAAAATAAAATGCATGTCATAGTGGACAGACCTACAAATCTGGGACCTTTGGCAAAGTCACTCTCGGCCTACGAGAAAATAATTAAAGTTATTTTAAGAGTTATGAATGAAGGGAATGATAGGGATATACATCGTT